AAAGAAGAAAACAGCTCAAGGGTTATAGAAACAGAAGTTTTTAATGTTGTTTAAACAGATCTTAAGATGGCTTTTCTGTATTTTTCGAGTCACTGTCTCCTTCCCGACACCCCCCTGCAAAGGACCCTTATACAGGAATGTCCTGGGAAGATACCCTGAGGTCTTCCCATTGGCCTTTGTTCACCTTTTGCTATTGGCTGTTAACTCATTACCTGATTGGGTTTTTCTGGAGTACCTTGACCTTGTAATTGGTCCCTTTCCAATCCCCCTGAAACCCATATAAACCCCCATCCCCAAATAAACTTCCTCTTTTGTCCGCCCCTCAGCCATGGTCTGTGTGTCCTTCATAAGGGATCAGAGAGCCATGTGCTCGAGGGGCAGTTGGGAGAGCATTACACCTCCAGAGAACGGTTTAACCCCCAAGACCTGAAGGTGCCCCCTCTCCAAATCAGCCGTCGTAAAATACGAAAAGAACTCCATCTGCCTTTTTTTTCTTTTTCTAAAGTTCATCTCTCTCTCCGCAGTTCTCAGTGCAAGTTATCACTTTTTATTTTTTAAACGTGGAAACCATTTACTTTGAGACATCCAAATCTGAGGGAAAGGGAAGGAGAGAGGGGCCAAAGGCTGCAGTTCTGTTTGGGCTGAGCTCTATGCTGGGGATAGCAGCTGACGGGGCGTTGCAGGTTTCCTGCCTCCCATTTCTTCAATCTCCTCTATTCATTGGTGAGCCAAGCACAAACCACTTGGTGCCAAGCACGTGTGTACAAGAATGCAAGTAGCAGAATACACCTTCTTGTTTTGCATCTTCTGCTCACACCACTACCCTGTGACCTCAATACAGGGTTGTGCCCCGTGCACTCCATGTCCTAACTTGTTAGAAATATTTGAGATCATTTTTACATATAAACTGCACCCTTTACTTCAGTGTTTCTGAGCACACAGGGGAGGTAACAGATATTTAACATTCAGATACTAGATAGTTTGGCAGGAATATCTGTTTAAAATGTTTATGGCGCATGAAGGCCTTGGGTAGAGACTGATATTAAAATGTATCTACTGGAAAAATAAGACATTTTTCAATGTGCCAACTGCCTACTTAGAATTTCAGTAGCATTAATTTATAGGGCTCGTGGTACTGCTTTGTGACAATAATAACTGCTCTTACAGAATACCCCTGAAGAGATTGAAGAGCCTAAATGATATTTCAAAGATCTGAGTGTGTACATATTATGAGTGTAGATTTTATTTGATAAGTTGAATCAAGTGTTTATGCCTTGTATCTGTCTTCTGTTACAAGCTTGTATCATGTTACTTATTCTGGAGTCTAATGAGTGTAGAGAGAGGTCATGAACAGCCATCAGTAACTGAACAATGCCACAGAAAAAAAGAAAACTGACCCAGTATATGTGTGCTTCTGTAGATATATTAGAAATCTAGAAAATAAGGTGGGAAACTAGAATGACAAGTTTTGAATAAGAGAGAACATTGTGCAAGATAAATAAAACTGAATATTAAATATAATTTAAAATCATGTAAAGTAAAATAAATGGTTTTTGGCTTCAAAAGCCAAAAGCTTGCTTCCATACTAGGAAGAAAAGGAATCGTAGGATATGAATAGGATCAGCAATTACTCACCATCATTATTAGAATACTTTCTCTAATTCCAGAGAAGTTGCTTATTTATAAAGAGTTAAACTCATTTCAATGAGAATATCGTTATGGAATTACTGAAAAGAGAGTAACTGAGAAAGTAATACTGTAGATGCACTAAAGCTGGGAAAAAATGCAGAATTTTTAGGCCTATACACAGAACTGGTTGTATAATGAAGCAATCTTGGGATTCAAAATTAATTGCTGGCATACCTGAACCACCTCCTTTGCATGCTAAGAATTTGTGGAAAGGGGCAGTGGGTCTTCAATGGCCAAGGTCAGACGGCTTAAATTCTGCCTAAGTTACTGTCTTTAATATGTCCAAGAACTCTACAGCAGTCAGTGATCACAGGTGGAGTTTAGGATGACGGATGGACCCTTCAGAATCATGCACTGATCAGTGGCAAGGGTGTATTGGCTCCAGAACTGCCCGCTATTCAGTTTATCTTAGGCTATTTAGAAGTTTATCCCCATAAGGTAGCTAAAGGAACCACTGCACTGGAAGCAATGTAACTGTGGAACTATGCAGCACGAACTAAAGAAGAATGAAAGCATGACTGCCTGTGAAGGAGTCCTGTGCAGCTTCTGATGCCTAGGCTGACTCGGTTAAACCTACCTGTGGCATCTCTCCAGTAGACTGCAAACAGCCTCTTGGAAAAGAAGCAGAAAGCAGGGGGAAAATACTGGGAAAGAATGGTCAGAGATGTGAATAAACCCACAGAAATTTGAGACTATGTTCAGACAGAGCGGTCATACAGCAGTCTTGTATACTTTCATCCTCAGCTCCAGATGCAGCACACCCCACTGCAGGAACTGCCTGCTCCACAGAACTCCCTGTCAGTCCAATAATCTCACGGTGCACACAACTTAGAATGGCCTACAGAATCAGATGTGAAAGGAAACACATACTACCTGTGACCTCTGCTCAGTGGTGTCTAGATTCACAGCAACTCATTCATACTCTGTGAACATTTAGATGTTTGAAAATGATCAGTGCAGCACACCACAACATACTTTTTAGCGAGCTGCAACCCATGACCTTTCAGTATTTTGGGACGGTTACAATTTCTAATGGAAAATCATCTGATATGATCCCATCAGTTCAGTTCCCTTGGAGCTTTATCCTAATTTGTAGCTTTCTTGTTGTTGCTTTAAATTTTTGAATTGAAAGAATGTGTAAAGATGAGTTTACTGGGTTAAAACTAATGCAGAGTGTCCAGTGAGGTAGTGGCTGAACATTACAGAACGCAAGTGGGAACCAGTTATAAGAAATATCCATCCAGCAGATCTGTGCCCTGGAATATTACAGTCGGTACATCCAAGGCTATCCCTTGGGATTCTCTTTGACCCTTAGTTTTCCTCTTGACTCTGCAGAATTGCTCTGCAGAGGTAGCCAGGAAATTATTAAAGGTACTGAATGCATCAGGTGTTATTTGGTATACAAGGAGAAGGAATAACAGTGTGAATAGGGAAGGAAGGATAGGCTGCTCTTGTGTTTGTTTTCTGTGACACACTTGACACACCTCTTACCAGCATCTCACACTGCTAAACAAAGGAAAACATTTCTAATACGTTTGTATCTGACCATTGCATTTCAGTCAGCGTGTAGCAGAGCTATTTTCACTCACTCCAGAAATGCACTGTTTGGATTCCTAAGGAACTGTATTCACCTTCTTTTCCTGGATCTTAGCATAAATTTAGGAACTTTCAAAGTAGTGAGTACTATATGTCTGTGGATAATTTTGTCAGAAAATATGAAAGAAACCTTGCTCAGAGCATCCTAGTAACTGCTCGACTAATGATTTGATCAGCTGCAACAGTAGCTGCTAAATACCCAGCATCAACTAAAGCCCTCTTATCTTTCTGAAAGCATCAAGCTAGAAAAGCATCTTAAGCTAAACCCAAATAGACAGTGAAAGAAATCTTTGCCTGGTTGAAGGTAGTATCACTGGCATTACACTACCTTCTCCATTATTAATAGTAATTAACAGTTGGGAAGAAGATACACCACCGTCAGGAGGAAAGGGTAGTGATTTCCATGTGTCTTCACCCACCCTCAGAGCAAAGAGGAGAAGAGTTGCCAAGAATCTCATTCTCCCATTCATTTCTAGCTTATGAAACAGAAATGCATCTGCCTAAGAATGGCACCAAAAATTTGCAATTACTAGGGTAAATGAAAAAGCCCTAATAATTTATGAACTTGTTCACAAGCACAGACAAAAGGTACAACAACGTGTTTCCCAATCTTTGCATCTGGAAATGAGAAATAATATTTCAGAAGGTGGATTGACCCTTATGAAATCTTAACTACCATCACTTGGAAGTGCTGCAGTTCCAACAAGTCAATTCAGAAAAGATGTATAATGTGATTTGAATATGTAGAAATGAGTTTTATAAGTAATTTCAGTGCATTGCTAAAAGGAATAAGAGATCTGAGGTACAAATTGATCTGGTTTTCTAAAAGAAAATTCAGTAAGTTATCTCTCCACCACAGCAAATGTGAAAACAATAATAAAGATAGAAACATTTCCCAGGGAAGACTCACAGCACCTTCTGTGAAAGACAGTCCATCCATGTATCTGTGTTGAAAATCAGGCAACTACATTTCCCCTTTACTCTATGGACACTACAGTTGTCTTATTCCATTATTGTCAAGAGTACAAAGATAAAGTTTTTCCCTGTCCTGTTTTCTTTGACAGTCACAAAGCCTTGTTTAGCTCCAAGAAATCAGAAAAAAATTGAGCACTTTGAAATCATGTTCTTATCGGTCCTCTGGATATGCACAGATGGCAATGTAAATAGTCTCATTAGTTAAAATTGGGAGAAACAAAGCAGCTCAGAGCTGTCTGTGAGAAGAGCTATTAAAAACAGTCTGAAGTGATTTCTGAAGAGGAGGCAAATGCCTCTGCCAGCTGCAGAAATAGAGAGAGGAGGGAAATTTGAAATCCTCTCCCTTTACACACAATTTCTACAACTCCTAACCAGTATGAATTAGATGACATTGACTGAGGGACAGATACTGTTTTCACAGGTGAGGAAGCAAAACCCTGAGCAATGGGTGTTGATACAGAATTAGTATTGAAAGACAGAGCACAGAGAGCAGCTGAAGTCAAACAGAGAGCTGAAATGTTTGTTATAAAAGAAGGCAGGAGAGTAAAAGCAATGACAGGCTGAAGGAGAGAGACAGGAATTAAAACAATGTTTAGGGACAGAAGTACAGAGGAGAACAATCGATGAACTATTCAGGTCTCTGCCTCTCATCACAATGATTATTATCTCCGTGTTTTTTAATTTCAGCAGAGAATCTGATCTTAATCTCTAACCCCTAAACTTTTCTTCTCTTTTCTCACCTGTCCACAGCTATTGCTGTCATGGAGTAGATGCTGGCGAAGACAGCTGTGATCGGGAAGAAGTTGTGGAAGCGGCAGTAAGCCTCTCCAAAGTACCACTCACTGTGCAGTGCATAGATGAAGTTGATGAGGGTATTGAAAGCAGCCATGGAGGCATCAGAGAAGGCCAGATTCACCAGGAAGTAGTTCGTCACTGTCCTCATGCGCTTGTGAGCCAGGATAATCCAGATGACAATGAGATTTCCAAAAACGGCCACTGCCACCACGCCACCATAAGCCAGAGACCACAGGGCAATGCGCCAAGAGGGTTGTACAAACTGATTGGAGAAGTTGCTTGCTGAGGATGCTACAGGGGGAGAAGCATTTCCAGCTGGCGCTCCCAGTGCCCGTCCCCAGGCATCACTTGCTGTAGCAAGGCTCACGTTCCACTTGCTGCTCATGCTCATGTTCCAGTTGGCTGGGGGGACAGAAGTCATCTTGGATGTTCCTCTCCTCTCTTCCAGGAATGATGTCACTCTTCTACCTTCCTTTCCCAACCCTTCAAAATCCCCACCAACAGATAAGAAGAGGGAAGGAAGGAAGAAAGGGAAGTAAGGCAGCACAGCAGTTACAGGGGAGATCTGTCAGAATAAAGATTTGGCTCTGCTGTTCAAACTGTAAGAAGTGCTGTACCAGCTAAGTCAGGAGAGCTACCTCGGGATAGAACAGCATCCTACTTCTCCTGTGTATAGCCACCTCTTGCTTTTGATTTTGCTGAAGGAGCCAAGGCACATTTTATAGGCTTGTGAGTTTCCAGCGTCACGAAGGGAGCGGAGTGATAAGCTCCAGTGGCTGGTAAGCTAACACCTCTTTCCCTCTGCTCTCCCTCCCCCTTTTATTTCATTCATTGCCAGCAGCAGGCACTTTCAGGAGCTGCGGAGAGCATCACGGGGAAAATGAATTCTCATCTCATTTATGCTGAGAGATTTATTTTATATTGCCTTTCTTTGAATTTCATTATTGTGCTTCCTTTTTTAAATAGTCTTTTTTGCCCTGTCTTTGCAGAGCTAATCAGCTGGCTTAGTTGAAAAATCCGAGGACTGAAACTGCTTTTTTATTACAGCTCTTTCCAGATGATTTTATTCCAGATGAATTCAGATCTGCTTTTTTTGCTGCTGTCTTTTCATTTAGTACAGGCTTTCCTTTAAACCATTCTGGTACCTGCAGATTTGGAATAGTGACCTCTTTTAGATAAAGAAATACATCCTGCTGCTCTCTAATTTTACTTTTCAATTTATAATATGTAATTGATATCAAGAAACATTTATAAAACCATTTTCATATTCAGCAGACACTGATTTTACTGAAACACTATGTAGCCCTAAACATAATGTCCTTAATTGTGCACAAAATATTATGGGTTTGTTTTCTTTGTGTCTTTGAAAAAAAAAAAAAAGTTCTTTTTGCTGATATGCATTTATTCCACACTTAGTACTATAGTTATTTTGAGTAAACAGTATTTTTACATCCACTTATTTCTATATTGGTAGAAAAGGGTAAATGAGGAAATTTAACACCTGATGTTTTCACATCTGAAATCAGTTTTTTGTTAATATGTTAACAACAGCTGGCATTGGGAATGCATGCTTTGTGCAAGGGTTGATTGCAAGGGACTTCAGCTAACAAACCTTTGTTATTCAATAGGCTTCAGTCTTTAGGGAGAAAATGTGTTTTAGTGTCGATCTGTTCCAGGTTTCAACAATTTAGAGCTACTACTTGTCATCAGCAGAGATTTCAATTGTATCACAGCAGTGGGAGCTATTTAATATCCCTATCAGCAATGACACATTCAACACTTTTTTTTAAAACAAAGGCTTCAAACAAAAATCAAATACTCCTGTGTTCTGTTTCCTCTGTGCTGTATTTACCCAGTAGAATTGGGTAAATATTGTCAGGTCTTCACTGCAGTTTTAATTTGAATGAGTGTAATCGTGGATGTTCCTATGTGCTTCTTAGCTCTTACCAGCTGACCTGATCCCAAGCAGCAGCCAACCTCAGGCTCTAGAACCCACCATGCACTGCAAGTCTTTGTCATGGAAAAGCCACTGGACTTTATCCCACAGTTCCATTTTGAGTCCCAAATCTTCCACCTGCCTCATCTTTCATCCTGTCCCTGGAGGTGAGCCTGAAGAAAGGAACAGTAGAAAATCTCTGTGAGTTTGAGTGTTGAAAAAATTCTAATGGTGGTTCCAGTGAGTGAGGAACGCCAGACCCACTAGTTATAGCAGAGGCTTGCACACTCTAGCAGCTTCACTCTCATCTCTAGCAGCTTCACTCAAGATTTTCATATGGCTGCAAGCCAGAAAGCACAAACCCAGCCCTGTGCCCTATACCTTTCCACCTTTATGCTCAAACTAGGAATTCCAGGCTGTATCCTTTTACTGATGTATTTTTCACACTACCACACCAGCTACCCAAGTCCTTGTGTCCCACATGCTTCTGTTGCTTCCATCCAGCTCTCCCAGCCTCAGCTCTATTACTCCTTTTCCTCAATTTCAGCAGGCACAGGGACCCTGTTTCTTAAATGCAGTACTGCCAAGGGTGAAGCAGACTGCAAACTTATAGGAGCAGTATACTGTACAGCACTGCAGTAACTTTCCCTGTATAGGAACATAAAGGATCTCTGTTTGAACTACTTGTCCTGTATAGTTCATGGAGTCCTTGTTCTGCTTTCCTCATAGGACTGAAGCTTTGTCAACTCTGTCTTGGAAAATTGCTTGCCATTGCCTACCAGGTGTTCTGGAGAGACCATTACCATTTGTCTTTCCCTAATCCTTTACAGTGCCCCCAAGGGAATTTGTTCTCAATCCATTCCTGGTGAGAGAAATCCATACAAGGCAACATCTCATATCAGCAGACCTATAGGTAAACTGAGTCCTTGAGACTTAGTTGAAACAAAAATCAAGAAGCTTTTTGTAGTCTGTGTTTGTAAAATGTCAGCCAGACCACCAACACAGTATGCTAATGAAAGTGTCAGCTTTGCAGTGTAGAAATCAAGGTGTCCTTGATTCCATCTTCTTCTTCAGGAGTACCCTGAGGAAATATCCCACCCCTGTAGGGACATTTTTATGTGCTGTGCTCTTCTCCATCCCCTTTCCCCCACACATGAGAAGGAAAACTGTGGGGTGCCATCAGCATAAAGGAAAACCAAGATTTTTCATTAGTCACTTGCTCAGTAAGCTGGATGTCATCAGCTGTGTTGCAGCAGGTATCCGAATGAGGCATAAGATGTGGCTGAGTATCTGGAGTTGTTTTGTTTTGAGAAGTGGAACACTGAACAACATAGGACAAATGTTGGGTAGCTGGATCAGCCTCCCATGGGGAACATTTATTACTCCTTTTGGAAATGCCTGTAGAAATTTGCTAGAATAAATTCTCTGTACTCTAGCTGTCATTCTAACTGAAACCATAGAGAAATGGTCTGGTACAATCAATTAGTGCCAAATCAGATCCTCCTACATCCAAAATGCTACAGCAAGGTTGACCTGTCCTGTAGCACCTTGCTAGCATTTTATTCAACCAAATAAGGAAAGAGGTTAGGCAGCCAGTAATTGGCTCATGTCTATAGGGGAAACTCAAATGGACAGTGAAGTCAGCTGTGCTTCTTCATTAAAATTTGTAATGGTTACAGCTGTGCTGATTAAAGTATGGTCAGCTGATGGCCATCAGCATTCGATTTCTCAAATAAGTTCCACAGCAACTTTGGTGAAAACATTTGTATTAATAACTTGTGAGTAGCAAAATCTGCCTAACTGGGGTGAAACTTACGCAAAAGAGCAGTACAAAAGACAAGGGTATGTGTTTTTTGTCAGTCTCTCTTAGGAAAAAAAGGTAGCTGTAGAGGGTATCTATGCTGGCATTTTCTTCTAGAATTGTTACACGTACATGATTTCCTATGTTAACTTTTGGCCATTCCAGCTTATGCATATCTAGAGTGGAAATGCTTAATTTTCCTCTCTGTAAGACTACTCAGTTTTAGAGTGACTTCTTTCTGACCATCTGCTATTTGCTGTTCTGTTTTGCTTTTCCACTGCTCACTACTTTGTGCTTGTAGTCAGCTGTGGTTAAACTTGCCATTATTACCAGCTCCCCATTCCCAGCTTCACAGAAACACTTAGAAATGTGAAAGAAATAATCTGAAGTGTTATCAGAAAAGTAGCTGTGATTGTCTGTACTTCCTCCTTTGTGTTATTCAGTTTGAAGCTATTTTTTCACAGTTCCAGCAAAACTTCTCCTACCGAGCCTGAAGTGAAAGCTAAGCTCCTGACTTAGCATCTTGTCTAGAAGGTAGATTTAGAAATTATTCTATTCTTTGCTCTTTATGAGATTATGATTTAATCTTCTGCAGGTCTTCTGGTGTTTTTGTCTGAAATCACTCTTTTACTAAATTTTTCTGTGTGCTGTGGGAGAGACAGAAAATCAGCAGTATTGCACAAGTAGGGATTTGTAGTAAAATAGCAGCCTGCACAGCATGTCTATTTAGCATAAGTACTAACTGCATCGTTAAGATGTTTCACAAGACCTGTCCTCTTTCTTTTGTATATAGCAGTAAGGGCATTGCAAAGTTTGCTTTTTGGTTTTGGGTTTCCTTGCTTGATTAGGCTTAGCCTAATAACCTCATTCCCTGCCTCCTTCCTCCAGTGCCCAGCTGGATGAAATGATCCTCCAGCAATAGCTTTTTTTTTATTCTTCAGCTTTGATAGCTCCCTTTCATCAGTCAGTCATGAAAAGGTTTAGCTGTGGCAGGAGAATTTTTGCAATTTAAGGATGCTCAACACTGTCCTATTTATCATGGCTGTGTGTTCACGTTGAGCTGCTGTCATAACCATGTCAGCCTACCTGGATTTGGGACAGTTTGCTTTTATTTGTGTAGTTTAAAGCACAGCTGGAAAACTCAGTTTGAACTTGGTTTCTGATTATTGTTTATAAATGCGAAAGTCTTCTTCCTGGCACCAATGGAAAATGACTCAGTAGGATATTTAGCAACTTCACAAGCACGTGAATAAGAATGTCGCAGCAAAGGACTAGACCAAAACCAGAAATATTGTATGTTGCTCTTCATCATGGCTAGAGGGGAGCCAGAAGTGTGGGGGCAATAGAGCCAAAGAACTGAGGAGACACAAGTTTTCTTCTGGAATATGATGCTGAGATGTAAAATTCACTGAAACTGTTTTTAGAATAAAGTAAAACACAACATGTCTAGAGATGAGTGATGAGAAGTTAACTAACACTAAATAGAAATGAAGACTATTCTGAATTATAGATAATATTCACAAATTACTTTGTATGAGAAAATATTTATTCTTCTTTGAAGAAAGAACCAGCAAGATTTCTTCAGCCATTGAGAGTTTGATCTTCTGATACTCCTAAAATGCTAAATATGTGTTTTCCTTGTCATCAGCAGAGCTTAGCCCTCTATTTTTTAGCTGCTGCATGTAGGGCATGACTGAAGGTGCTGAATAGCAGGTACAGTGAGGTGCCTGTGCCAAAATATAATTTGTAGGGCACAGTTGTTCTGTGAAATGTAATTCTTATTAATTTATTTACCTGGTCAAATAGGGCTTTGAGAGGAAAATACATTATACCAAATGCAATACTAGCAATTTTTTGGAAAAAATTAAGTGGATTGATTCAGGTGGTTCTTCTACCTGCCAGCAGTATATCTGGAGAGGAGGTAAAGGCAGAGTGAAATGGGCCATGATATAACAAACATTCTCTTGGGCAATTGTGATTAGTCTTCTTTCCTTCTATTGTTGTTTTCCTTTTTACA